ATGGAACTGGAGAGTAAGGCCTTTTTCCTCGGGATATTTCACTGATAATCCAATCAGAACGATCTATTGTAAGTGCTATTAAGTGTGTGAGATCATCCCACATCTAAACCAATCAAATGGGGACAAAGATATGTGATATTTTGGAATGTTGGGATATCTCGCGTATGAGCCAATCAGTGAGTCTCTTATCACACCGGTAACTTCACACCATTTTCGATCTCAAAATAAATAAAAGATAAGACATCTGCTATCAGGTTAAAAGGTCATTTACACAATGAAGATAGAAATATACTGTTTCCGTTCTCATAAACTTAACACAAAATCCGTCAGTTTGTTTATGTGAGGGGTTTTGTGGTTTGTCGGCCGACCGATTTTCTTACAGGCGCTAGGATACGAAGCCAGAAGATGTGAGAGAATTCTTGGACGCAAAAAAATAAAAAATCGATCCGCTAATATTTCAAGATAAGTGCAAAAAAAAAATCCTTGATCCGGCCACCGTCGAGTATCAGTTAAACGACAGTTTTTTCTCCAGTTTCAATAAAACTTTGTTACTGAGATGATGAATACATGAATCAATCATACACTAAAATTGCGGGATGAAGAAATAAAAGCACAGAAGATCATGACAGTTATAAATACGCAATTTATGCTGTTGGGAAAAGAAAGCCTGGTGCGTTACCGTTGTTAAGGTACACAGATCTTTTTTTTTTTCCATCTTATCTTCGACTCTTTTGTTGCAATCTCATTTTACTTTCTAGCAAACAAGAGGGGTTCGAGTACATTAGCTCGCAGCGCAAATTTCAATCATTATACATCATCGCTATTTTAAAATTATAAGTAGCGGAATATTCCGCACATAGACAAACCAGGACCTCTTCTATTTTGGGGTGTGGGATAATCCCGCATTCTAAATTCATGCATGACGCGACATGAAAATGTCCAAGGGACAAGTGAGCTAAAGTTCAAACATCGCAAACCTGGGACTATATTACATTGGAAAACTTCGGGTAATGAAAACGTTCCTCCTTTCAAAAATGAAGCGCTACCCATTATGTGCTAAAAGTGTTAAAAATTCAGGTGGACTAGGATTGCTCGTAGTACATGTACTGAAGTGATTCAGTTATGCTTCGGGCTTGTGATAGAATTTATCGATTCCCCTCATTGAGATTATTGTCCACTCAACGATATTTTTCTAAAGCGAAACAGATCGATAAGCGTGTGTCCGGCGTACTCATATGCATTTCTGTTTCATTGAGAGCCGAATAGTAAAATATCTAATTTCATTCATCATGTGATGATAAATAATCATAAAATAGCGGAATCATCCCGCGCCGTAGCAAATAAGCACGAGTTTATCCTTGGAACTATCTCAATCATCTGCATTGTGGTTTACGAAGAATCCGATCTCCTCACGTTTCGGTTTGCCCTCGCTACAGCTCTAACAACCTTTAGTGGATTTTCAGCCTCGTTATTGCATTGACCTTCTTTTTAAGCTTACTTTTTAACCCTGTGACAAACACTTTTACTCCTATTTATAAAATTGAGGTCATTGTTGTATTTTACGAGACCTGTCCGGAAACCTCAGTTGTGAGTAGCTGACTAAAGGAGACTCAATTGAGGCAAAATTATTATACAAGTTAGCTGTGAGTCACCCTGATCAGCAACGTGAGCAAATTATTGCACTGGGGTAAAAGACAAAAACACAAAACGTAAAACATTCCTACCTTTTGTGGTCGGCACTTCATCGACACTGGTTGCCTCCCACGTCCTTTTTGATGTTTTCGTTTGCAGTAGTAACCATTGTTAACGTTAGGCCATCTTACTCTGTATCCAACACGAGTAAACAGTACAAGAGTTCTGCAGCTACCATTTTCATTGTCTAGCAACTTTTGTAGCCTATTTAGGTCACTCAATTACCTTGCCAATGATTTTCGCGCCCTTTTGGCAGCAAAAACCTCTCACAACGAGGCAGAGACCTTTCTCTCATTTTTGCCTCGTCGTGAGAGACCTCTGCTAGCAGGGAATGGTAACGGAAACAAGGTTTAAAGCGTTAGAGGTTCTATCGTTGTGTGGCTGGGAGATGGTTTTTTAAGCTCTTTCAGTAAAGATAACAATGCTAATTTTTGGGTGAAAAAGAAGTGCAATGAAGCTTTCCGGGGTGTCTATACTCGAACAAACTTTAAGTCAAATCTCATACTCGTAGCCGTTCTCGTCCTGGAATCTAAAGGTCTCAGTATCACTGGCAAATTGATGAAGGACGATTTCTTTCTTCCCTGACGTTTCTCAAGCTCTTAGTAATATCAGTATAAAGGTTAAGTTTTGCACTGCATGGTCAGCTTCATGTCAAACCCAGGTCAGAGAATTTTTTTGTTCGTGTTGAGATAAAAGTGAAAACTTCCGGTCATGTCAATAAGGTGAATTGACCCTTGATGACTGTTGATCAAATTTCAGAACATTGTGGCCTTGAACTGGAAACTTCGGTTATTGTTTCTTTTTTTACAATTTTATCTACTATATCATGTACATGTATCTCCGGGCGTCATTTGAGTCCCATTTATCATATGAAACATTTTTCGTCTTTTCTTGTTCACAATTGCTTTTCCAATAAGTGAAAGAGACTAAAATAATAGGCTTTTTCTATCCGTGAAACATCTCCATCTGCGACGAGAGAAAAGTAAGGGAGTCAAGAGAAGGAATTTTATCGCAAACTGACGTAGTTCTAGCTCATT